ATTTATCTCTTGATAAATTTCTCCATTTGAGCAGCTCTTCATGCAACTACTTGACGGAACTTATGAAATATGACAATTTCTCAATCTTCAGTACGTTTTTGAGCATGTTTCCATTGACAAACGAAAAGAATGCGCTTGTTTTACTTGGTCAATGTGACCTTGAATATCGGGGGCGCAAATTGATCTTGCTACTTGCGTTTCAGACCGTTGCAGTATATAATTGATTCCTCCGGTAGAAACATTTGTGTATACGCCTATATTTATAATTTTTAATTTCTATTAAAGTATATTTGACTGAGATAGCGCAACACCACCAACGGTCCCGCTTTTCGCACTGCGTATGGCAGTATGATGGTGTATATATACTCCAGCTGACCCCCAGTGCCTACTGACAAGGGTAAGTCGATCGCAAGGTTGACCTCTATTGATCAATCACAAGATTCGATTACTCTTGTCATTAGAGCCTGGGGACGCAATCGAACGGCACTACTCGATTACTGTCGTGATTGCGTAGACTGTAGACTGCTGCAGCCAAGCAGATTACCAGTCGTACACAAACCCATAAAGCTGTGCTGCGAGTGTCCGACAATATTTTACAATAATGTATCTGATAATATTGTTAGAGCGTTTCTTTTGAGCCAGTTTACACTCGAGCTGTTTGACTTCAAATTGTATTTCTTATCAGTCAAGTACCATCAAGTGCATGCAGGTGTTTATTTTTTGACAGTTTACTGTTGGATTATAGTTTTGTACATATACGTGTAAACTTGTCGGCACAGCATTTCTCACCACATATCGCTACGCAATCTATTGTTTGATTGGTCGGTGTGTTCCATTTCAGATTTTTCGTTAATCTTGTCGATCGCATTAATCAATATATTTTCTGTTCTCATTTTGAGTGAAAGGGAACGAAAATCGTGATTACGATACCAATAAATAAAAGGCACATAACCGTCATGATTCGAAGGCTCTCCTAATCATCTAACTATTTGACACCTGATGCGCTCGGACCATACTGCAACCATTAGTCCCAGTCCTGTCATTTTATTCCAGCTTGCTGCCTTTAAAATGGATAATATTCTATAAGTGGCGAGCACAACGACAAACTAGTTTTTACTCCAGTGTGTCATTTATGCAGGTTTCTTCAATGTGCTTTATATTTCATTTGAAGGCAGACAACAAATTCGGTCCTAATTCCGACCGATGCAAAATTCTGAAACTCCACTTCAATCTAGCATCCTAAATACAGAAGAGGGCCAAGAGTCTGCAGGTGACAAGAGCTTCCTGCAAGAATTCCAGAGTTTTCGTTCAGCAGTCTTTGGAACAAACTTAGTTGATGACGACTTTTGCGAGTCTTATCCTCCGGATGAGCCTTTTAATGAATCAAATAGCCTCCAGGAATCCTACAAAGTATGTTATGTTGATTCCCGTATGATCCGATAAAATATGAATCAGTTGTTTTTTTAAACGGGATATGCCAGCCAGTGTTTGTGTATTAGTGAACGCCTTATCACTTTCCGAAGCCTACTTATTGATAATAATTTTATTCTTCTACTCATAACTAGTCTCCAAGT